CATGAAAACAGATGTGCTTGATATTGGCTGACGAGTGAATTTTAAAAAACAATATTTTAACAAGAAATGCACAACAAGTTTATACCAGAAAAAACAAAACAATTACCTCTAAATAAAAATTAAGTTAATGCTTTAAAATGGATGTTGAAGACATAAAACATTTGTTATAAAACAATTCTTTTTTATAAAACAATATTAAGGCCATTAATATTGTTGTAAGGGTGTGGGTGAGTATTTTTGAAAGGACATACATTCAGCTTTAAGGCAGTATATGTCATTTTTAGATCTGCCATTTAGAAGTTTTAAATTTTTTAAAAGAAATATGCACCCATAATTGAAATATTTTCAAAAAATGAAGCCCACGGTTAACAAGTGTTAACAAGGTGTTAACAATATATGGATGCTTCTCATTTTGGAGACAAATTTTAGTCCATTACAACTTTTACCTGATTAGTTAAGTCTAACTTGATTTTTTTCCCCACTGCTATACGGTGAAGAAGTATTTCTTCATAATGAAATTTAAAAAATTAAAATATTAAAGAATAGTGCGATTTTATAATTACTTAAGGTACTAAAATGTCATTACCATATATTATCCCACTCTCAGTTTTCTAGTAAAATAATTTTTTTGTTACTTTCGAAACCTATGTAAAATGACAATGAAATTTATTTCCATTCCTAAAGAATAATTAAAGCATTTTGAATTAAATATTTTTTTAAACTTTTATTAACTGTAATATATGTTTATGTATTTTCAAACATTGTCCCATCACTTTTATGTCATTACCAAGAAAAAAACATAACATCAGATATTTAAGTGTTGAAGAGATGGAACAGTGGAGAAATTTCTTCAGAGTGTAGTAGTAGCCATGGAGTTAAAGGACAGCCACCAGCGAATAAACTGACCAGTTGTGCACCCTCCCTCTACCCATCCATTTCTTATACGTTGAGCACGTACCTTTATTGTTGTCATTACCATCGTGTATATTATCTTGTTACCTGTTCAAATTATTTCATTTATTATAAATCACATTTGATTATGGTTTGTAGCAAGCCAGTTGGAAAAAACAAAAATTATAATACTAGTTACACAGTGGTTTTGGCCGAATAAAATACATGAAAATGTCATTACCAAGTTGAAAACTCATTTTATTCCCATAAACAAATTATTAGCTTTACTTACTTTAATTACTGAGAAAAAATTACATATGATCTTGGCCATTTGCTCAGAAAAAGTTGAGCGGCAATAGAAGGTGTAGGTATTTAGAAATGGTGTAGGGAAGTGGTAACCCCATAGCCCGGTCATAGTACCGCAGACAGCCACTGGCCCTCCAGGTTGGAGGAACAGTATACTCACACTCATACAGTAAACTAATACAGCACACTACACTTACCCCGACACCACAGACAAAGGTCATCAACAGTACACACCCTAGGGTCACCTTCCCTAGATAGCCGCCACGGAGGAAGAGCAAGACCGGATGTTATGAGGTGGCAGTCGCACCATAGGTCTAGGGTCTAGGGTTGTCAGAGATGCGTGAATACAGCTAGATGGGACCATCTTTAACAAGTCTATACATATCCTGGCATACGCAGACAATATTGATATCATCGGGACATCACTTCGTGGCGAAAAGAAGACTTTTCTGGCTCTAGAACAGTCACGACTGTTCGGTCCGACTAGTCGGTGTGGAAGATGGGACTGTCTATAAATGAGAGCAAAACCAAGTACAAGTATATGGTTGCTGGCATAAATGCACCACATCCACAAATCTCGATTGGTGACTACACAATCGAAACGGTAAGTTTATCTGGGCTCCCAGGTAAATGCTGACAACGATGTATCAGAAGAAATATGTAAGAGGATCCTGGCGGCAAATAAATGTTATTTTGGCCTGCGGTGGTATCTAAGCATTCGCCAAGAAAACAAAAGCGACTCTGTACAAGACGCTGATTCGTCCTGTCCTTACATACAGAGCGGAAACGTGGAGCTTCTCCAAACAGACGAAAACAGCAGCTGGAGTAGGATGCGGGAGAAGAAAGAAGAACTCACTTGAAGCATGGACATGATGGGATAACTACTTAATGGCAGAAGAGAAGCCCGCTACACTGAAGATTAAGAAGATCAATTCATTTATTCAATTTATTACAGTTGTGGAAATAAATTATTTTGTTATAGAGCAGTGAATAGTCCTTTTATTTAGTTGTCCTATAGGCCTCACAATTGAAGAATAACAAACCAGGTGAGTCGATTCATTCAAAGTGTATTTACCCTGTTCCACATTTCATATTTATATATTCTTATTATTTCTTGTCACTCAGTGTCACAAAAGCATTAGGTTCCTGAATTTCCAACAACAGTAAACACCCTCAAATAGTTTATATCCAGTGCCGGGGTTTTGTTTTAAGAAAATTAAATTCACGGGTTTAAATAACCAAGACCCTTGACAAAATGGAAGGCTATTTACAATTGCCGTCCAAACAGGTTATTTACAATTACGGAACAAGGTTATTTACAAATTGATATTTATTTAGTTATACAAAATTATTCTTTACTTTCTAGATGATAATTATACAACATGTATAGAGCACTAAAGCATTGAAGTGCAAGGTGCATTATATATAATGTGTTTACATAAAGTAATTAGTGAGTGCGCTGTGTTTATGAGTGATAAATATATTAATATGTGTAGATGGTTGAGGATATAATAATTCCAGATAGTATGGGAGTTGATCATAAAAAAAAAAAAAAAATCAAATATTTGTTAATTTTTTTCTGGTCTAATCCCAAACAATTTTCTTCTTTAGATATATTTAAGTTTACAATTTATATTTTTTCTCATTGTCATAGTTTAAAATTAGATAAATTAATTCTTAAGATTCAAATTTCACATTTTATCGGTTTAGTGCAAAAAGTCGTTAAGTAACATTTCATAAAATATCAAAACATTGTGCAAGTATTTTAAGTAAGGGTGTAAGTATTTTTGATACATAAAAGGGTTTGTTTCATTTTAATGGACTTAATATATTTTTGCATCAGTAAATAAGGTCAAAATTTACAAAAACCTACTTAAAAGTTTAGTGATAATATCTTTAGGGAGGATTTACAGCCCTATAGGCTACACAAAATGGTACAAACACACCCCCCATAAACCAAAAGCTACCAGTGTGCATCAAAGAAGTGCCCTGCGTGTCGCTCGAGCTTTTCACACTGTGTCCTACCATGCTGTATGCGTCATCACAAATATGCCTCCGATCAATTTTTTGGCAGATGAACGCAGTCGGATGTTCCAAAGAAAATGAGAAGAGCCGGATTCTCACTGGGCTACTTTAGCAAAAGAAGAGAGAAATCAAACTCTTAAAAGATGGCAGATGCGCTGGAACGCCTCATCTTCTGGAAGATGGACCCACCGTCTGATTCCCGATTAATAAACATGGATATCCCAGAAACATGAATAATCTGTCCACTATGAGCATGGAGACACAAGCAGAGGATATTGAGCCCCCCGACTCTGAGGAGATGGAGGAAGCCATTGAAAACCTAAATAGCAACAAGACTCCCGGTGCAGATGGCTTACCCGCTGAGATCACCAAGTGTGGTAGCCAAGAATTTGTCAAAGTCCTGCACCAAATAATTCTAGGAATTTGGGAAGGGGAATGAATCCCATCAGACTGGTATAAAACCATAATCTGCCCAATACACAAAAAATGGCGATGCTCTTGAATGTGAGAACTACCGAGGGATTTCTCTTTTGTCATGTGCCTACAAAATACTCTCACGAATACTATTTCTTAGGCTCCTCCCTTTTGTAGAGAGAAATAGAAAAGTATCAAGCAGGTTTTATGACGAGTAAAGGAACGACTGATCAGATTTTTTCTCTGAGAATGATGTTGGAGAAAGCCCATGAATATAATATTCAAACCTACCACCTCTTCATCAAATTCCAGGCTGCATATGACAGTGTGCTTACAGTGCATGGTTGATTCAGAGTCTACTTAGCCCGCTTCAAAATAGAGAATAAAGTGCCCAACTTGTGATCCCGTGGAACATTCGTTCTTCTGTTGGACAGAGTTTACTCGAGAAAAAGAAGAGCTACACAAGAAATTCAGGACAAAATCCTAGCTAGAAAACGTTGTCGCTTTGATGATGTCTAGACATGAGAATTGGAGTGCAGCAGTGGACTATGCAGCAGAAATCGGCAGAAGGCTCAGAGCACAGGAGCAAGAAAGTATGGGACAGGCAATGGCTTAGCTGTAATAAGATGTCCAAAGAAGAAGTAGCCTTATAGCCCTTCTACCCCCCCCCAAATTAATGCTTGATAGCCGTTCCGTGGGGTGGTAAAAAAGAATTGGGAGCTAGTTTTTTAGTGAGTAGAAATCTCACACTGTTGTGTGGCTTTTTATTGATTGCACTTCGTCTTATGAAAGATTTTTTCCCTACCCAAAAAAAAAAAAAAAAGAACCTCCATAATCAAAGTAGAACAAAGATATAAAACAGAAATTTTGAAATTTTTCTTTATTTCTGGCTTACGAAGAAATAAAATCTAAAATGTATTTATATGGCTTAGAAGAGTAGTGAATCAGCTTTCTAAGAGTTATATTAACTTTCAATTAGGATAAAATTCTGAGGAGTTATGAATGTTTTAGTTGATGGCTATCAACAACCTTCCCTTGTTATTGGTTTTTTTGCAATAAACTGACAATTTAATCGATAACAATGAAAAACACAAATTAATTAATTGTTTACTTTGAAAAATTGTGTTTGCAGTGATTTAATAGAAGTAAAAGAGGAAATAAAATTATTATCCAATTTCAAGCACATCTCATTGTGTCCGTTACTCCAAGTTACAAAAGGTGAGGAATGAATCTTAATGAATAATGAATATATTATATATATTAACAAAGGTTACAAAAGAACATGTTTAAGGCCAAACAACACAACATCCATTGATGCAAAAGACATTGACTACATTACATAAATACAAAAATAAATAAATTATTTACCTCCTCTGAGATTGTCGAAAAGAGGTGATGACGACACCGGCTTTACTTGAGTTCTGGGGGGATTCGTGCTGGAAGCTGGGTCGTGGAGTCCCTCCTTCGCCTTCAAGACCGGCTGTCGATCGCCGACCATTATAGTAGCCCTAGAAACATTTTTTTCTGTTTGGCGATATTCAACCTAATAAGTTGAAACATGGATTATTCTAATATTGACAAACCAATTTTCTTTATTAGCAACCACCATCTCCAAATAATGATATACCAAGCAGATTTGTAACTTTAAGAAGTATAAACTTAAAATATTAATCTGGATTAATATTATTGTGGGGGTTGGGTATTGTTTCAAAACATTACCACAATTTAAATATCTTAGCACTATTATTACAGAGGATAATAATCTTCGAAGAGCTAAGAGCTTTCGAAAAAAAAGTAAACAAGACGATCCTGCAATCAGTTGTTATAAATAGAAGTTAAGTCATAGAAACTCACACTTCATGAAGAGAGGCTATTGAACATGTAACTAGGTTTCCTTGATTAATAAGGAGTTTTGCAGTAATAAAAATTGTCTATATAATACTTGAGTACCTACTGCATACATAGTTTCTGAATGATTCCATGTTTTTATATTTAAAAAATCTGATGCGGTGCACTTATCACACAACTTTTACTTAACATCCTCTTCTTAGCAGAAATATGTATTTTCAGACGATGAGAAGTGAAAGTAAAAAAAAAAAAGATGGTATGAAACATTATTTAAAACAATTAATTACAATATGTTTTTCATAGCCGTCTAATGTATTATATTTATCTTGTTTGACTCTAGCTATTTCCTTTTACAACTGTATATTTCAATTATTTATTTGATTATAGTAAATAATAAAGTACCTCGAAACATTTTTAGTCCGACAAGAGAGTTACTGATAAAGAAGGCCACTATATTTATTTATAAAAAAAGTAAAAGTAAATAAACTATATTTATTTTTATTGTTGCCGAAGTTTCGGCCCAAAGTTGAGGTCTTCATCAGGGCCGGTCTAAAGAAAGATTCCCGCAAGACCGTCTATAATATATTTGTATATAATATTTGTTATATATATAATACAATATTTAAGACCATCTATAATATATTTTTGACTGAGAGCCCCAACCAATCTTCTCTTCAATTATTTACTACAGTCAACAGTCAATTCACAATTATATTTCATTTTGAGTATTTTTATTTGTTTAAGTATCAGTACCAAATTTAATTTTTATATCGCTGTAATCTTTACAATTGAATATTAAATAATAAAAATGATAGCATTTATGAAAACCATATATGTTTAAGTAGATAATATTGTCGGAGTCTGTATTATATAAAGCTCATGTTACATATCAAAGTTACAACTATTCTTCGTTACTATCTTTTATTTCTCCTTTAGTTAATTATCAAATTCTTTTATATTTAACCTGTACCACTACAACCCATGAAGGGTCTTGGGTTCAGTACTATTTAGGGAAAGCACTGTTTCTAGGTCAACGATTGTGCAAGGAGGTGATTTGACCGAGATCACGCTCAACAGCAAGGTTTTCCCCCTTAATTAATTATGTAATTAAGGATACCCACTTTATAAAGGCTGGATGTGTCCCAGGGTCGCCTCACGGCCAATGAAACATAAATAAATTTTCTGCCATGAGCCGGGGTTCGAACCTGGGACCGTTAGCATTGGAAGCTCAGTACCCTACCACTGAGCTACCCCATTCCCTATTTTATATTTAGCTATGTTTAATAAAAAAGTTAATTGTAAAATTATAAATTATTTTAAATAAAAAAATTAAAGGTACTTTAGAGAAAGAAATAATGAAAATTAGCCATTTAAGCCCTGTTAGAGAACATCAATGAGAACAAAACCTACATTATATTAAAAAAAGCCTAATTTTTCACTGATATAATGAATTTAATCAAAATTGTAAGAGCCGTTTTCGAGAAAATTGTAAATTATGTAAAATCGATTATATAATTATATGACTCTTTGTTTTTGAGCTAGACTGTTTACATACACACACATAGTCAGACACGCACACAAACACAGACCATTTTGCGGGACTTGGTTATTAGACTCAGAAGATGTCAACTTCTATTTCTGTTGAAAACCCAGATTACAAAATTTCACGATCCCAATACTTTCCCTTACTATATTTTTCATACATATGTAAGTGAAAGTAAAAAGTAATTTTGTTTACAATAAAGAAAATGAGCTCTTTTATTGAAAAACAAAACAACAAAAAAGCATTGCTTCAATTTCTACCAAAGGACTGAAAAAGTAAGAAGTAAAATTGAGAATAATGAAAAAACTATTGCCAAAAAATTGACTATTCTTAGGATAATATACCGAAAATACTCAACACACCTGAGCTGTTGAACTGACAATAGATGCAGAACGTGAGCTCACAGCACTCACACCCTCTTCATCCCAATCATCACTACTCGCTGGAGGAAGTCTTCCTCCTCCTCCACCTCCTTCCCAACTTTTTCTTTTTGTTTGCCGTCCCCCACTCCTTTCCATTAAATACCTGAAATAATTAAACCATAGATTGATTTATTGATATTTAAGAGGAAAAAAATTTATACAAGGTAACGGTCATAAACTAACTTGAAGTAGTGGAAACTATTTATCAAGCCCATGTTTCGACCTAATTATATAGGTCTTCATCAGTGCTAGAAAGAACAAGCTACAAAACTGTAACCACTACTGCACCACTATATATTTGTATTTACGTATATAAGGCCTCCGGTAAAGTGTTGTATTTTAAAATAATAATTTAAATTGTAATCATTTATAATAATCATCAAAAGTATGGTTTTGGAAGGTAATGAAAAAGTTAAGTAAAATTTAATGCATTTAAATTTATTTGTTTTTCCTCTTACTCAAAATGGTTTGAAAAATACTAAGGTAAATTTGGCGCCCAAACTGGGAAAGGGATAAGGGAATGAAAATCATAAGATTTGGCAACCTAAGCAGAAACAAATTGAAAATTACAATAATTTATTACAAACAAAAAGTTGAAGGGGGTCAAACATAGGTCTAAGAGAATAGGAGCACCATCCCTTATTCACTGAGCTACCCCACTCTCTAAATATTATGATAATACTAACAAATATTTTGAAAAAAAAAATTACAAAATTTGATTTTCACGAAACACCAATAATAAATAAAAATTATTAAAATTTTATTTTTAATTTTTTTATTCCATTCGCAACTGCACAGTAGTGCATCTAAAAATTTTTATGTAATTGATTAATTTCTGTGATTTTGCTTGCTATGGCCTTGATTTATTGAATTATTGGTGAAGCAACAGATCGCCGGGCCATTTTCTTTTTAATTAACAGGGAGGAGGAAATTGATAGAACAAGAATTTGTCAAGTATGCAAGATTTTACTGTTGAAACATTCAAGTTGCTATGTATAGTGTGATTCTGTGCATACCATGGTGCGTTTTCAAAGAATTTTGGATTGTATTGTTTATATTTTGTTTATGTATGCTTGTTTTGCTGAACACCAATGTTCTACTCTACATGTCTAAACTGGTATCAATATAATGAGTGCTGTAGATTAGTCACTCATTTCATAATTTGAGGATCTGTAGTCCAGAAGACATTAAAGTTGATCATATCGTCTTGTCAATGAAATGAAATTAAATGAAAAATAATTGTATTCTGGTACTGAAGTCTGCTTAGAATAATAGTAGAGTTAAAAAATATGTACTTTATTCTGCCATGTAGATATCATGCAAATATATACAAAAAATACTAAGGAAAATGTAAATATATAAAGATACTAAGGAAAATACAAATATATACACAAAATACAAAAGAAAATATATATATCTAAAAAAAATTACAAATATATACAAGAAATACTGAGAGAGAAAAAAAAGTGAATAAATATGGGTAAGTAGTTCCAGAAGGAGGTAGCATGAATGACGAAGGATTTACTGAAGGAAGTGGTTTTATGGGAGGGGATATATAAATCTATAGGTTGAGATCTGGTGTTGAGAGAATGGATAGAGGAGAGTAAAGTAAGGAGTTCTAAGATGTAGGGAGGGCTTTTGGTTCTGAGGACTTGGAAAAAGAAAACACCAAGAAGGAATTGCCGTCAATGTATGTTCCAAGTTTTTTAACTAAGTAGAATCTGAGCTACCATACATTTATAGGTAATGGATTGTTGTTGGTGGTTATAAGATTATTAAAATTATTGTCAATAAAACATTACCTCTCAGACGGAAGTGGAAGATCAGTATATTGTGTAGATTGTTGTTGACTAGAACAAATTACGGGGTGCTGACTCATTGCTTGCTGCGTAATCGTTTCAGTATGAGGCATCTCAGATTCAACAAGTGTTGTAGTACTAACATTACTAGGAGATGAAGAAGCGCTAACTACTGTATTTGTTTCAGCTAAAATTAAAATAATAAAAATACCAGAAAGATAAAGTTATAAGATGAAGATCTTAACTAATAAAGTGATAGGACCAAAATATACAAGTTAAAATTATTTGACCTAGTTCCAATACAGCTGCTGGGCAAAAGATTGTAAACTGATCATAAAACTTTTTTCTTTTTTTTTCAACCAATAAAAATACCAACCAAAGAGAATCCTATTTATTGGCATTGTTAGTGGTTATTAACATTACTGCTGCTTTAAGTAAATCACAAATGTCAGATTTACACTCATCATCATAATCATGTTCCTCTATACCGCCTATGCAGTGTAATGTTGCTTCTTGTAGAACTTGGACCAGGTGGACCTTTCCAGTGCTCTTGTCTCCTGTTCCATTCTAAACCTCGCATGCATCTTACACGATTTACACTCACTACAAAAAATAACCAAACTGCCAGCAGACTGTCAACAGGAGTCTGTTTCATTGAAGATGGATCTGTTTCAGTTCATTATCCAAAACTTTAAGCCACATTTACACATTTCCCGAAACATGGGAAACATAAACGTGCATAAGGGATGTTTCTCTCTGCTAGTGCTTGTGTACCTCTGTTTACAATCAATCCATCTGCTGTTAGTTTTTAAGAGCAATTAGTGGTACAGACAATGACCATTTATAAAGGTCTGGTTCTAGGTATACTGAGGTATGCGTACCCTGTGTGGAATCAGAATCTCTCATACCAACAGAAGAACAAGTTGGCGACAATCCAGCAAACGGCTCTGCTGCAAGTCACCAGTGCATGCAGAGTGTTTCTCATGAGGCGGAGCAGTTACTAGCGGGAGGAGTGCCTTCGAACTCCTCCTGCAAGAAGATATGTTCAAGTACATATATAAGAAAGAAGGTTCAGTAGGTCTACCGGGAAACCTCAAAGAGAGAATCAAGGGAAACCCCAGAAAATGGAAATCTATTACCCGAGAGGATACAATTAAAGTTTGGAATCAATGGTGGATGACAAGCCCGAAAGGGACCACTCTGAAGATGTACTTCAGAACCATTCAATCACCTTAGGAAGCCAAATGGGTCCTCCCTGATTACTGGCTCTTGCAATTCCTTACTGGGCATAGGGGCTTTCGAGACAAGCTCCATGGATTTGGGAAAGATGTCGATCCTCTATGCCCTAGCTGTGGGATCCCAGAGACTGCTGAGCACATTATTATAAACTGCACCGCCTTTGAGTAGCTAACAGCCAAATTGGTTAGGAAGACCGGTCTCTATGTTCTTACAGAGACCAATTTCCCTCAGCTAGTTACGGAAGAAAACTACCCGTACTACAAAGAATTTTTGTAGGGGTGGAAATAAGCAATTAGACCTGCAAACTTCAACCTCTCAAGAAGAGGACCTGCACCAGGGAGGACGCTGGAACAAGGAGGAGCAGAATAAGGCCATAAACAGCAAATTTAAATTTAGACAGGCAGTTATGCAGTGACATGTAACAACCCAGTTCTGCAAAACCCGTATTGCCTCAATGGCATGGTAGGGTTCAAATAAATTTAATAAAAGATCCCTTTTTATCAAATTATTAATATCCGCCGAAAGAATAAAAACTTTTTTATCTATAAAAATTCTCAGACATGGGGAGTTTTCAAATTAATTTAATAAGCTATTTCTTAAAAACTCATGAATAACTATTTATTTTCCACTAGAATCCTAATATAATTAGATCATAAAATAAAAAAAAAGGTGGCCTAAATAAATATTGGGCCCTTTGGTCAATATAACTTTGTTAATTTTACATGTTAGGGGTGGAGATCATGTTAAACAGCATTTTTAGTACCTCCTTAAATAGACAAATTTTACTAATCTCCAGATTTAAAACGTACCATTTCCCAGAATTTTCGTAAATAAAAATGTTGTAGGTTATGATGAGATGAAGCCATTCACAAAATTTAAGATGGATTTTAATAATTTGATGAACCATAGACTAAATCAAAGAGAGCTTGCAGAAATTGCCTTATTGTACTACAGTTGCAAAAATTTCATGTCTGCATTTCTTCCCTATTTTTTAAAATTGTTAATTTTTTATGTTTAAACCAAAATACTTCTTTGCAACAGTCAAAATTGAAAACCTCACATACCACCAAGTTTTTTTATATTTTTGTTAAGGAAATGTGCAAAGGTGACTTTATAGTTATCCTGAAAAGGATCTGTTAGGATTTGTTTAGTTCTTTAGCAAACAGAATTCAGATAGTTGTGGACTAATCTAACAGTAAAAATTTTATTAATCCTGAATAATCCCACATTAAAAGATGGCAAATATAATTTAACCGGAACATTCTGTACCTGTCATTGCTTTTGAAAGGCGGTTATCGACTTGGACATTCGGTTCTTTTCGCCCCTCATTGATCATGGATTCACAAGCATTCTCTTGTGATATTGGTGGTTGATGTCAAGCTATAGCGGTCATTCATTTATGAATGATTGCGGAGCACATTACCTATTGTGTTCAGAGGTAAGATAAATTTTTTTTTTATTTGATCAGATTGGTAGTATTGGGGCGTATCGGGAAGACAGCAGGAGTGCCTGGTAGTAGCTGGCTATGGCGGACATAGTTAGGATTAAGCATAGATACGATTCGTCCTTTCTGTATGTACTTGTAAGTGCCTGCACTAGACATCATTGTTGGAGGGTGAGGTGAAGTTGAGGGTCTCGGTTAAGACCTTCGGGTTCCACATAGTGGCCTATTCACCTTACCATTGCTTTTGAATATGATTGGTAGACTCTGCTGCTTTTGGAGTACCATCTACAATTGGATATTTTCTCCAGGTTGTAGTAGACATCCCCTGGTATTTACTCTTTTATGTGACATTGTGTGAGGGTATGAGAAGGAATATATAATATATAGGAATGTAAGGTTGCACTGTGAATTGTACTCAATTGTGCAGTAGACAAATTATTCATGGAAAAGTCTCATATCGATAAACAATCGATAAAGAAGGACACTGGAAAAACGTCAGATCAGGTAGCTAGCAACAGCTGGCAGAAGGATGCCGAGAAGAGCACTTAAGGCTTGGACACAAAGACGAGAAAACGTCATCTGGGAAGAGAGGCTTACTATATTGAAGACTAAGAATATAAGACTTTTATACATTAATTTATTACAGTTGCCAAAATAAATTGTTTTATTATACAGGAGTGAAAAGTCATTTTATTTAGTTGTCCTATATGCCTCACAACTGAAGAAGAACAAAACAGGTGAGTCAATTCATTCAAAGTGTGTTTACTAAGTACCACATCAGATATATATATATTCTTTTTGTTTCTTCTCCTCACTCAGTGTCACAAAGGTATTAGATTCCCAACAACAGTTAAACACCCTCGAAAAGTCTATATCCAGTGCCGCAGTTTTGTTTTAATTATCTCGAGTGTAAAAAGCAGAAGGCTATTCGCTATTCCTGCTAAAACAAATTATTAACATTTAACTTTATTTGGTTATTTACAAGGTAGTACAGTAAAGTAATGCTTCAAGGCTAGAACATCACATTTAGTGTTTTTTGTTTTTTTTTCTTAAATAAAAACGAAACATAATGTTTTTTAATCACTACCTGTTAAAGTTTCTGCACTTGATGAACCAGCAATAGCCTCAGGAATAGCCAGATGTGCAGGATCAGGCTGATCAACTCTTATACTAACCTTTCTTCTAATTTCCAATTTTATTCCAGCGTCTTTTGATCCGGTTTCTTTTATTAGGCCCATGTGTTCTTCTTCATCTAAAAAAAAAAATAAATAATTATTCAATTTATTTCATTTCCAATTACAAAAACCAACTTCAAATGGATTGTACACACATTTTCTGTAACTTCCTCGCCAGTGACTTCTAGGAAATCCTTGTGAATCGTAACTATGGCTACGATCCCTGTCACTTGCTTCAGAACAGTAACCTATACAATAATAGAAAATTACAAGTTTATATTTTGTGAACGGCTACATCTACGCTAATATATTGTAGTGATTTTGAAAGTATCTATTGGAAATTTGTTTTCTGTTACGTTTACTTTTGAATCATAATTTGCTGGATTTTAAGAATTATAATTTTTATAACATTTAATTAACAATTGTAAAATTTTTATAACTCTCCTCTTACCATATAACTGAGCTGACTGTTTTTTGTGCAACAGTTTGTTAGTATAAAGCCTTCAAACTAAAGAATCTTTTTTTTTTGTTTATTGTGTTATTCACGGCGTTTGACACCCCTAATAAAAATGGAGAGAGAGTGAGCATGTTGTTTGGCCCCCCTAATATTTTGAAGAACAAAAATAAAATCAAAATCAATAACAATTAATGTACATGAATGAATAAAATATGTAAACTAAAATCAATTAGGAAAAAAGGAAAAGTCGAATAGATGGCTAAGAGAGCTAGAAGAAGGTACGCAAGTATTTTAGAATGCCTTCTTTATCTATTAATAAAATTTTATTTGATATTCAAAGATAATAAGATATGTAATAGATTAAATATGCTGGGATTATATAATTCATTCATATCCACCCCTCCACTTTTACATGACAATTTTATCACAGTTCTCACGCCCAATTTAAGTACTGGAGAATTTGGAGTCCATGACACTGCCTCAAACTTTTAATAAAATTATTAAATATATTTAATTCCTTTGCTAACATATTTTAAAATTCAAACTCAAACTTTTAATAAAATTATTAAATATATTTTATTCCTTTGCTAACATATTTTAAAATTAAATAAAATTAACATATTTAAAAAAAAAAAAGTAAACTAATATACAACTATATATACATATATATAAATTTATTGTTGTATAGTAGTTAACACCACAGTGTTAATTTATTTTATTTTCTTATTAAAAAAGAAAATTTATTAAATTGATGATTTGGTTTATTTAATCAAAATGAAATCAATTATTAATTATATTGTTCATAGGCCCATAGCTTATATTGTTTATATTCAATATAGACTAGTTCATAGTTTATATATTATTATAGATTATGGCAAAATGACCAACGACTGGCATAAGAGACAAAAAAAAAAAAAAATATATATATATTATGGATTGTAGCCCTAGCTATAAACAAGTCCTAGGTTCAAGTACTAAGCCATGGACTTCGTCAAAACACAGACTGACTTGGTCCATTACTGAGTTCAGAGCTGCCAACCTCTATATTGCCCGCTGCAGTCCTACGGTGAAGAGAACTACTTCTCTCTTCTGCAGTTTGATTATATGAATGCTGATGAAAAATCTACATGTGGTCGCTGTATAAGGATTGGAGTGCCAGCAGTTCGTCATTTTTTTATGACCGTCACATGCTTGCGACCACCTAACGTTGTACAACTTTTATTATTTTTTTGATTTGTATAACTTTTATTTTAGGGCTATTAGCATTAGTTTATTTGTCTCTATTATTGATTTTAATTTTGGGCCAATCATATATCATTTCTCTATTTAATTTCCATAGTCAAACATCGTTTTATTAAATATTTCTTAATTGTTTTTATTGTAATTATATTCAGCTTATATTTATTTTCATTTATTAGAAGTTATTATTTTATTTTATTTTTCGCAAGTGTTAAATTGATAACAATAGTACTTATATTGTTCATTTTACAATAATTATGTTGATTATCGCTCATGATTTTTATACATAATATAAACTCCTGAGACATTTTTTCATGGGCTCTATTTGCCCCTCCGACCAAACCATAATGGAAAGTCTATATTATTCACTTACTCAGGTGTACTTGGTCATGTATAGGAAACAACTATGTATAATGTCATATCTCAATTTGGTAGATACATAATAAATAACCAAATAATATAACCTGAAACAGAACTGGCCCCAGATGTTCTTCTTGGCGTTGCAGAGCTTCTTCTTCTTTCAGGATCAAAAAGATGAAGAGCCGAAAGCATGTCATCTCTTCCTTCTATAGTGCTGGCATAACAAGAAACGAGGAAAATTACTTTCATGATAATTTGAAACTAAAATGTTTTAAATATAATTTTTATAGAAAATAAGTAAATGATAATTTTTCATAATTTATAACAAAACAGAAAGTACAATGAAACCTCTACACAGCAGACAGCAATGGATCTGACAGAGTTATCTATTGCAGATGGGTGTTGTAAATATTAGACAAATTAGTAAATATAGACAAGTTTCATCAAAATCACTAGAGCCGTTTTGGTGGTAGTCCTGGGGGTGGGGTGGACAAGCGGGCTAGTGTGTGCACAGCACCGCCGTTGCCCGGCAACTGGATCAAAAATGTAATTTGATGAAATAAGTACGAGTTCGCATCCCAATGCTAGGGATACTTTTAATTCTGGCATTAATCCCCCGCTCTCAAATTGATTCAATTCAGTTGATAAGAATTCAAGAGATAATCATAAAACCAAATAATAAATAAATAAACCAAAGGTTTTTTGGACTCATTGTCAGAGGACTACGAAACATAAAAATGCCCATTTTGAAGTATCCTTGGCTAAACTTTCAAGGCCCAAGCTTAAAATCTGGGACCAGGAATCAGTAATCAGTGCCTTATCTTTTCAGAATATTGTTTTAATAAATTATTTTTAAAAATACAATTCTTTATTTTCTGATCAAATACTTTAGAATTATAAATTATAATAAAACAAAAGAAACAAATAGTTACATGAACTGATCAGTGGCTTGAAGATCAGGAGGGTCAGCATTATAGAAAACTTTCTTAAGAGCTTCAATCACAGTTACACCGTCAGTAAATACTCTGTAGGTAAGGAGGAATGTATTGAGGAAATCTATCGATAAAAAGCGAAGGTCGGTTAATCGTTCTAAGAGGCGTTCTGGAGTAGCATAGCGAATCTGAGGAACCTGTAAATAATTTAATAATATATTAAATATTGTTTGTTATAATGAATATAATTTTTAAATGAAAAAAATTTAATTAGCAAATATTCAGAGCTAAAATTGGCAGTACAGTACTTTTGGCAGTACTTTATGGCCTTTCTAGGAATCGTATATATTGTCAAATAAAATGGGTGTAAAGAAATTTTACAGTGAAATAAAAGTGCATTTTAAATTAACAGGCCAACTTTTGCTGGCATTAATATCTGCTTTGTCATCCTTCATAAAAAAATTATTAAAGAAGAGCTTTGCCTTTTCAGCTAATATATAGTCAGAAATTGGTGATATCTGCTGCAAAAACCACACATAAATAGATTCCTCAACTTCTGGATGACTGTCTAGTTTTAATGGTTTTCTTCTCGAGAAACCACAATACGATTTGGATACTATTCTATTAATATGTACTGAGAAACAGACTCATTTCAATTCTGTCTCTCATCAGCCAACTTTAATTTTTTTTCTTGTTCTAATTAATGGGTTTTTTGGATTAATAGGGGTTCAGATTATCAAGACCGTCCTATATAGTTTAATTTGAAGCAATATTCAGTATAAGACAATTGAAAACATGAAGATTAATAGGACTTGTAATGGATGGTTTTGTAATTGAATTTGAAAATGTCAATCTATATTTATATTTTTAAGATTTCTTAGTACCATAGGAACAAAAATGTATAAGTCAAATAAAGTTGTTAGACAAAGTCAATCATTATAATGAAATACATATCTCATCATTTTTGATTATTTTTAAAATTTATTTGAAGTTAGTATTTATGTGGGAAAATATCTATTGCATTTTACTTGTCTTTGAAGACTCATTTTACATCTCATATATAAGATCACTGAAAATTACGCAAAATATATTTGGTTCATAATTTCTGAATACAAAGGTCAATATATTTCAAAATATCTATCTATCTCTTTCCAAATTTTTTTCTTATAAATATTCAAGATTAAAAAAAAAAATTATCGGAAGTTCAATTGAGATAGCAAACAATATTGTATATTTTATAGAGTGCTACATAAAGTCCTAGAATACTTTAACCTTACATCATATAACATAAATACATTAAATTAATTACCTTACAGGAATTGAGAGTACGGCTAAATCTAATGTCGACATCATCTTTAAAGAGTTTAGGATCGTTTTTAATTGACTGGGGCATGGTAACCGATGAAGTGTCAGACATAGAACTATGTAATAGGTCATTAAAATGGACATTATCCATGCACTGTAATAACAGAAAAATGCATCATTTATAACTTGAATGTTTTTAAAAATAGAAATAAATAAATATATTGGTAGATTAATAAAATTATTACCTGACTGATATCTGATATCCAAGCAGCTTTCTCCTGTATCGTTGGTGCTATTAAAAAGATAGACATCGGATGTCCCATCGAAGTACTCTTTCCTTCCAGGACAATTTTAAAATCTCGTCCTCCGAACTCGTTAGATAAACCTTCTGAAAATAAGTAAATTTCAAGTGTTTTTTTTTTTTTTAAAGGTAATCATTTCAAATAACATTATTAATTTAAACATCATTCATAAATTTTTATGCGTAAATTTTATGATTTTTGAGTTATGGGCAAATAAAATTTCCTTTTCTTTCATAAATTTTTTTCTGAATAATAGGTTTATTTTTGAGCACTGAAAAAGTAGATAGTTGCAAGGAAGATGAGGCGTATTGAAAAAAAACACCTTCAAGAAATAATATGTAAAGATAGTATGCTGAACTAGTTAATGTAGAAATCAGTTCACTTTTAATTATCATAAATTATACATATCCTGAATGATTGTAGTTGTTAATTATATGGTTACTTAATTTGTCTAACAGAGCTCTCCTATTGAAAATAACTATAAAATATAAAGAGAAAACAAAATCTTATAGAACCAATTTTAAGGAAACTACAGCAAAAAATATCAGAATTTTCATGAAATGTGTATGGAAGATTATGTGAGTGGACACACTAGAAATAGTTCCTTCTTTCTTTTTTTTAAGGAAAAAAATGTCCGATTCCGACAATTAATTTATGTCTTTTTTTGTTCTTTTATAATATTAGGAATAAGTCAAGTTATTTAAAATAAATTTAAACTATATCTAAAATATACCAAGCAATCATTTTAGCTTTTTAAATTTTGTTTTGTTTACTTTAATATTTAAAAAATGAAGGGAATATAGCAATTAGTTTCTGAACATTTCTTGATTGAAGTATTGTAAATAATTCAATAACTAATACTTCGATTAATACCTGATTGAAATATTTCAGGTAATACATTATTTAAATGACTGTAAATGAATATTTAAAAATCATAAAAAATGTGAAGTGAAACCCACGAAAGGTAATGGCTTTGTTGGATCAGGTTCAAAACTACTGTCAGTTTAATTGCCGATGGTATCATAAATATTATGTATATATGAGGAGTTTATCAGGGGGTGAGGTCAAATAAATACTAAATTATAAAAATAGTATTATTCAATTTTTATGCTGACTATTCGACCCACTTTGCAGGTCTTCATCAGGGTGTAGGATGTAGCTCTGAGGGAGACAGTTGGACCTGCCTCAATCATCAACTGCCTCCCGCAATGCTACATCCTACACCCTGATGAAGACCTGCAAAGTGGGTCGAAACGTCGGCATAAAAATTAACTTAGTCAACCATCTCTACATTATTATGTATATAGTTTAGAACTATATTATATACATACTGTAGCATTTCAGTTAGGCAGTGATAGGGGAGGTCATTATGTTTTTTATATTCAATTGTCGTATTTATATTTGTTTAAGCATAGTTATAAATTTTTAGTTTCATATTGTCATACCAGATGTGAAAATAAAAAACCGAAATTTCCTTAAAGAAAATACGCATTTATTGTATACAAATATAAAAAAAATATTGCCCATCACTACCTATATAAACTACCCGTAAAAAGTATCGCAACAGTTTGAAATATTTGAATTTTACAAAAATGTCTGTTTTTTCATAATAAAGAAAGGTTCTGAAATCTATAATAAACATTTTAAAAATGGCCATAAACAAGTCTTATTAAAATAAATTACAACATTTCTTCCAATAAACAAAAAAGTTATAAAACATACTTTTTAAAATAACAATTTAAATTTGTAATTTATATTTAATAAGACGTATTGCCCCCTCTGGCTTGAATGACTGCTTCCACTCGTCTTGGCATACTTGTTTTGAAGAAAATCTTGCGGTATATTGTCACACTCCTCCAATACAGCTACCTTTAGCATTTCAAGTGTAGTAAGAGGTGATTCTTGTGACCGAACCTCACGTTTGAGATACGTCCCAAAGGTGCTCGATTGGGTTAAGGTCAGGACTTCTTGCTGGTCAATCAATTGGATGTTTGTGGTGTTGATGTACCCAGAAACAAATCTTGCCTTGTGAGGACGGGCATTATCATGCATGAACAACGATTCAGAGCCAATGAATGGCATAAAAGACACTACATGATCTTGAAGAATCATTTCTAAATACCTAAAAGCATTCAAGGCCTCTTCTTGGATTGGCACTAACTCGGTATGTGCCTTCCAAAATATGGCGCCCCAGAACATGATAGAACCCTTCCAAATAGCTCAGTTTCTAACAGGCAGCACTAACTATACCGTTCTTCAGGCCTTCTCCAAACTCTTTCATGACCATCTGGTCTGTTATGGGCCACTCTTGTCTTATCAGTAAATAAAACTTTTTTCCATCCCTCCACAGTCCGAAATTGTTGTTCCCTTGCAAATTTCAATCTCTTTATGCAGTGTTCTGGGGTGAGAAGAGGACCTTTCACTGGCCTTCTTGAGCTGAGATTTGACCGTCGACTTCGAGATTGAGATCACTCGAACACCAGCGATCAATTTTTTAATGGAAGAAGCTGTAGAATTATGCTTCTGAAGTGCGTCATCTATGGGATTAGTGGAGTGGATGCCTGGTCACTCGGGCATACCAGGCAACGAGGAGGCTGATGAACTAGCCAGATTGGGCTCAGATACCATTCCTGTAACTCCCGAGCCTGTCCGTGGAATCAGCCTCAGCACTGCCAAGGGCAGGATCAGGGAGATGTATGGGAAAAAATTTAGTAATTACTGGACTGACAAGAAACAGCGACATTCGAAGCTGTTCCTTAAAGGTCCATGTGAAAAAAGAAGCAAACTGCTACTGAGTATGGACAGAGCAGCTCTTAAAAAGCTTACAGCAATCTATACAGGTCACTGTAAGCTAAATTACCATATGTTCAATCTCCGAGTAATGACGAATCCGCTATGCAGATTCTGTCAGGAGGAGAATGAAACAGCCTTTCACATCGTGTGTAGATGTGATAGATTCACAAGGCTGAAACTGGTAGTATTTGGGGAGGAAGGAATGGATCTCCCCAGTAAATATGAGACGGTCAATCCAACCAGCCTACTTAGATACGCGGAAGCGACTAAAATAACGTTTTGATTAAAACGATTAATTGAAATTGGCGCACAATGGACCCATTAGGGGTCGACGTGCCCTGGGCCAACATTAAGGAAAAAAAAAATGGGTAGTAATCCTAGGATGCCCTGATGTTGGTCGCTTCGAATGACCACTAGTCTCCCTGTACCTTTTTATGGTTCCTGAAACGGAAGAATAGTGAATCCCAAGGCGACTAGCAATGTAACGCAATGATTTGTCTTCTTCAGACAAAGTGATGATTCTGACCAAATCATCATGGCTTAAACGATTCATTGTGAGTAAAATTAATTGTTATAACTAGACTGAAGAGAAAAGAGAGAACAGACTTGAGGCAAACGAAAGATAAACATGCACTGAAAGGAAATTTGAAATGCATAAACCAAAATTCCATTGTTTGTTGGTAAATAGTGAATAACAATTTGTCTAATCCTTAATGTCTCTCATTTAATAAATAATATTATTATAAATATGAACAAAGTATGGATTAAGGTCAAAACCAAGAAAATCTTGAGAATTATGGGTGTTGCAATACTTTTGACGAGGAGTGTATTTTTTCAATCATTCTGGCAATTTATAAATGGCATGCCAGAAAAATTGTTGCCCATTAGTGACGAACCAATCATCAAGTCATTTTAGTACATTTTTATAAGAAGTGAAGCGCTGTTGAGCAAGTGCTTGCCCCATCAATGGAAATAAATAGTAGTCGGACAGAGCCAAGTCTGGAGAGTAAGCCGCATAAAATATTTTTCAAATGATGGTCAAACTTTATAGATTCTAACATAATGTACTTATATCAACTAAGAAATAGATTTTAATTCCCACATTCAATAGCAAATTAAAAATACTACTAAAGACACAAAAAATGTTCACAAACCATTTTTTTCTTTTAATTTTAATTCATAAAAACTTATCTTTTAAGTGAGTAAATTATAAAAAAGTTTAAAAGATGGAATTGTCTTTATTTGACAAAGACTTTTTAAGAAGATGAGCCAAAAACAAAATAATCACTCATGGTTTGTGTACCATCATCGTCATTCAAACCATTTTCTGATGGATCTTCGATGAGCGTGGCGTCAGCGAGTGGAACTTTCCCTATCTCTGGAACAAGATGTAATCGTCCTCCAGATGTTCTATAAAATTTCAAATAACAATATATAATAATAAGTAATTGCAACATATTTTGTGGGATTGCTATAAATCAATAATACAAAACAGTTATTTAATTAAAAAAACTAAATAAAGTTTTTAGTAAGAGTTGTTCTTGTCTGTGAATATTGAAATTTGACGTATTCTGTGAATATTGATACTTGATGTAGTAGTCAGCTGCCTTAAACACTCTTAAACAAAACTGAAGAATGTTTAAAAAATACATAAATTCACTTTCTAAATGCTTAAAAGCACAGATACCTGGTGCTATATGTACGTTGATATGTACAGAGTACAAGATAAAACTTTCAAGAAGCCATTACTTTTAATTAAATGCACCCCACCCAATTGTTACATCAATTTTCAATATCCATAGAATACAACAATACTAAGTTTTAAAGTTCTAGGTTTAGGGTAAAAGTTTAACTTTTATTTATTAATGTTCTTAAAAAAAGTTAAGCCTACTGTGTTAAACTAGGGTTGAGCCTCTCTGGAAAATTCCAGACTTCAAAAGGACTTTTGCAAAGATGCTGCCATTTGCCTACTGTTTTTAAAATTTATGTTGATGTTCCTCTAACAGAGTGGAAAAGAAAATGTGAAAAATGGAAATAAGGATTGGCATAAATTTATGCATCATCAACCTAATGTTTGCTGATGACCTAGTAATCGTAGCCCAGGATAGAGAGGACATCAATCATATGTTCAGAAAGGTTGTTGAGAGTTATGAAAAGTGGAGGTTGACTATTACCTTTGTGAAAACAGAGCACCTTGGCACTTCATCTGATGAAACGCCAATTGAAAGAGGTATACAAACTATAGAGAAATTTAAATATCTATGATCTATGTTTAATAGAGAAGGCAAATCCACCAATGATATCGACAAAATAATTGGTGAAGGAAGAAAGGTCATAACAATACTCAACAGTATCCTTTGGAGCTCAAATATACAGCCCAGTACAAAGCGGTTAATATACAAGAATATATTCGAGCTAATAACGATATATGCCTCGGAGATGTGGATCATCAATGCAAGACAGCGAAAAAGACTGTTAGCAGTAGAGATGGACTTTTGGAGAATGGCAGCAAGAAAATCCTGAAGGGAAAAAAATCAAGAATGAAAGAATTCTGGAAAGCAAATATAGAAAAGAAAAATGAAGAGAAGAATAGATGGGGTGGTCAGTCAAAAAAGAAGGCAAAAATAAATGATAATATTATACATTGTCTGTACATCTTGATAGACTTTACAATATCTCAATTTTCTATCTAACTACCCCATTCTGAATGTCTTAATTTTACTATTTATTTTCATTTCTTATATAACTTCATATTTCTTTTTTATTTGTTGAAACGTCGGCATATGTAAAAATAAATATTATCATTTATTTTTGCCTTCCTTTTTTAACAGACCACCCCAACTATTCTTCTCTTCATTATCCACGACAGTCAACCATTTACCAATTAAGAAAAGAAAAATGTATGCTGGTTTGGGCATGTGAAAAGAATGACGCCCCGAACGATTGCCAAAGATATGTATGAATTAGAAGTAGAAGGGAGAAAGAAAAAAGGAAGAGCAAAGGTAAAATGGAAATACGTGGTGTAAGAAAGCCTGATGGGACATAGTATCAGAGAAGAACAAGCCTTAGATAGAGAAGGATGGAAGAAGGTCTTAAAGGATATTTAAGTCAAGGATAACCACAGTAGTGGAAAAGTCTTTAATAAAAAAAAGAAAAAAAGTTATGTTCAATGAGAAATAAACAGTAATCAGGCTTAGATTAGTTGTAATTTATCTTAAATGAATAACACATGATTCTAATGTGTCACCTGTTTGCATAGCTAAGAATAAAAGTCATTTTTTTAGATAAACTTTTTAGTGAAATCAATAGAATTTTTAAATAACAGTTTTGTAAAAATTAATATTCTGTAAAACCATTACTTGGAAAGTTGCAAGGAAAAAAGTTATAGTTCAAAAATAATAGAAAAGAATTGAAAATAAAGATTCCGGTGATATCAAATATAGATTGAGTAAAAATTTCTTTATTTATTTAATGAAATTTACAACTGTATAAACAATACAACTAGTAAAAATGCACACATTAGAAATAATGACATGAATAGACTTGAAGAGATACTGCCCAGTGGTAGCACTCCCTATTCTAGGTTAGAAGATCACGAGGCCATCTTCTTTTCAGACACCTAGGGGGATTATCAGAAATCAAGGAAGAAGTAAGGCTGGAAAAAAGTGGATTCGGATGGGACTGCAGTTTATCATGAAAGGATAGGTATCTGGCTCGAGCTAAATCAATGGTATATGGAACATTAAGCTCTTTATGAATGGTTTTATTTGTGACAAAATATGGAGCATAAAGGATTTTGGATTGTAAGGATTGGATACGATAGGATTTCGATGGTTTGGTAGAGCCCCGAAGCTCAACTCCTTATGTCCATATAGGTCTTATTATGGTTAAGTAGATGAGTCTTTTGTATTTAATAGAAAGTTTAGATTGTTTGTCTAGTACGTGTTGTAGCAGTTGGAAACGTCGAGCAGTTTCTTGTCGTTTCAGTCTGGTATGCGGATTCCAAGTGAGTAAAAATGAAAGTTAAAATTGCATTTAAAACCATGGTTTAAACGGATAACATTCACCACATAGCAGAGGGGAGAAATCAGGTTAGATTAAGTTACTGAGTAATAGTTTTATAGTGGACTAAAATTTTCTCATAAAATGAGAATCATATATGAATAATATGTAAATAAAATATTAAATGATGTATTCTTTACTAACAGAAATAATCTAATTGTTAGGTTTTCAAAAGTTTAAATAAAACATTGAAAAAAAAATACCTTGTTGCTAAAATAAGATGGTTGGAAAAGAGAAAACACTGTCTGATTGATTCCTTTTCTGACTTCATTTTTGCTTTTGACCGGCTTGATTTGGATTTTTCTGATGACAACTGGATTAAACTCCCTGAAAAAAAAATTAAAATTTTCAAATTTTCCAAGGATATATTTAATTAATCAATAAAATCAATAATTTAAAGGAAATAACTTATTAAACCCTTTCACCTCTTCTCAATGCTTCAGTTTATTTATTACAACAACGTTTCAGGCCAACTTTGCCCATTTTCAAGTCGAACTTTTATCTAAAATATTACAATACATTAAATATCTATGAAAAATATGTAACAGCACATACAACAACAATCTATAAAATTCCCAAAAAATCAACTTAATGAATAAAATTTCTACTAACATCCTTATCATATCCTCACCTTCTTCAAATAATTATTTCATAACTATTTATGGAAAAATTAGTGGTTTGGCTTTTGCTTATTTGAGATGTAATGTTAAATTTGCAATATTTTTAAATTGTGGAATGGACTTTTCATAAATAGTTATGAAATAATTATTTCAAGAAGGCAAGGATAAGATAATGATGTAAGTAGAAATTGTATTTATTAAGATGATTTTTTGGAAATTTTATAGATTGTTATTGTATGTGCTGTTACATATTTTTAAAGATATTTAATTTATTGTAATATTTTAGATAAAAAGTTCGACATGAAAATGGAAAAGTTGACCTGAAACGTTGTTGTAATAAATAAAATGAATTGAAGCATTGAGAGGAGGTGAAAGGGTTTAACAAATTATTTCCATTTAATTATTGATTTTATTAAAAAATTAAAATAACATTACATAGCTGACATACAGATAAAAAATTATGTAAGTGAATTATTCAAGTTAACAAATTTTTCACTAAATTTACTTCCTTCTTGAGGATTAAATAGTTCATTGAAATAATCTTTCAATTATTTCCTTCGGTTCGCTCAATAGTGAGCCTTGTCTTTGCAGAAACTTACTTGGGGCTGGAATCCCCTCTTCAGTGATTTTACTTTATTGTAAAAGCCCAGTGATATAAAAAAAAAAATCATTTTGTAGTCAATTTTCTTTTATTTATAATAAGTACATTTGGTTATAAATTATACATTTTTAATATGTGTCCCCAGGCATACTGGTCTGGGAAAACTATCATTAAATAGAGAAAAATCAGGGAATGTTACTTTAACTGTCTGGTAGCCACTCTGCCATGAGTGAAATGAACAAATTGAAGCTATCCTTTGTTTTGGACTGGATCTATGGGGAGAGGAGAGAGGGCAATGGGGCACAACCTTTTATTTTCAGATTAATTGAAAATATTTGTTTCTGCTAAATTTGAATAATATAAAAGAGTCAACAATTATATAAGTGGAGGGATGGATTAATTAAATTCATGTCTAAGAACAAGCTTTTAGATCAAAATCCCATTACATTTGTTTTACCGTTTGAAATGAGATACATGAGACAATGAGAAAATTGTTTCATCAAGTGGAAGTCGTGGTATCTCATTGCTTACCACTCCTAATAATTTGATTGAAAAATCGAGAAAAAAGGTGGCCTACAAAAATATTGGGCCGTTTGGCATGTTTAACTTCACATTTTGTATAACATATTTGGATACGTTGATGGTGGAGGTCATGCCATTAAATGAAGTGGAAAGCAAATGAGTGTTCATGAGTTTTTGGTATCTCATTGAAGGGGCAGGAGGCAACCAGGAAAACTGCCCCTGGGCACCAAACTGGAGGGGCACTCGCCAATTATAAGAAATAAAAAAAGTTACAAAACGTATTAAAATAATTAATTTCAGTCCACCAATAAAGCAACTGTATTAGAAAACTTGTTGAATGCAATAAAATTCAAATATTTCATAATATAAAACAACTTAAAAAACAAATAAATTTAATTTTTTTAAGGGAGGGGAATATGACATCATTGCCCAGGGGTGCGGAATGTCTAAGGCCGGCACTGCAGAAGCCTCTGGTATTTTTACTCTCGAAATCCTCAATCATTGCTTATATTTCATCCTCTTCCTGCTCCTGCACAGTTTCTTGGCCGCTTATCTCTTTTTTTTATAGGTTTCTACAGCCAACCTAGAGTTCTTCTCTGTGGTGTTGTGGTGGATAACTCAATATAAAATAGTTTAATTTAATCAAGAACAGTTAGAATCTGGCCTGGGAGGGTTGAAATTTATTTTATGGCGGACCCATGGAATGATTCTCAACCCTCCCACTCCGGTTCGAATAGATTTGGTTGAACCTCTAAAACAACTCCCTCTCCCCTCTCTCCAGCTAGTAGAGACTAATCGGCAAAAAACAAAACATAAGTGTTTGTTGATTTTCTTGGAAACATTGAATTTTTATAATAACATATGTTAAAATTGTATTTTATTTCATAAATGTAATATATAATTTTTATAATCCTATAAATATATATATATATATATATATATATATTAAGAACTGTTATTTCTGTTGATTTTATTTTTAGATGTCCTTTCTTATTGTACCTCCTTATAGATGCTGAAAAAACATTTGATGTCACAGCTGTTTCCCCTCAAACGATTGAAATGACACTGCATTGTCATACCTTACTGTCATTCTATTTTAATAAAAAATAGAAGAAAAAAATCTGAGATATTTGCAAATAAAAATTGTTCTCTTTCTTTCATAACTTTTTCCACTGACCTTTCAGGAGGATATGACTATGGTTCTTCACGTCTCCATCAAATACCTTATCATTTGATACCTCATTCATAAAAATCCGTGGTTATCAAAATTTTTGTGATTTTCGACAAAAATCCAAAGCTATATATAGTCTTAGTTAAATTTTGAAGCAAAATAGTTTTCTTTTCCGATTGCTATGAAAATTAGTATTTGAGGGTTCTTCGAGGTTCTAAATACAAATCTGAACTCAGTTTCTCCATAAGAAAAAATGTCTGAGATGTGTGCAAATAAAAATTCTTTCTTTATAACATTTTCGAAAATTATCTGAACTATCGGGAGGATGTGACTATGATTCTTCACGTTTCCATCAAAACCCTTTCATTTGATACCTCATTCGCCAAAATCCTTGGTTATAAAAATTGTTGACTCAAATCCAAGAATTAAGAATGGTTACATTGAAAAAGAATTCCTTACTATAGGTCACCTTAATGAAGTTCTTCTTAACAAAGTTCACTTTAACAAAAATCCACTTTACGAAGATCTCCTTAGCAATGGTCACCTTAACGAAGGTCTCCTTAACAAAGGTCACCTTAAGAATGGTTTATTTTCCGATTGCTATGAAAATTTTCGGGCTGAAGCCCCTCCCAAAATGGTAAAATGTAACCATGTTTTATGGAAAAAAATTATGTCTTAAAGTATTATTGTTCATGTAATTACATTTAATAAGATTTCAAGAATCATTTAAATACCATTCCATATAGGTATTTAGTATTTTTCTTTTTTTTCCAAAGTAATTATGGTTATGTATATGAAAAAAAAAAGCTTTCAGGCTGAAGCCTCCCAAAATTAAATCCTGGATCCCCTAGTGCCATGAATGGATAGGTCTTGACATCATTGTTAAAAAATATATGAGCTGTGAAGCTTTGTCCCCAAAGCATAAAGAGCTGACAGAAGGATGGGGTGACATTGAATACCAGATAAAATTCAATCCGATAAGAATTTAGACTAGTCTAGTGAATAAATTGCTTGATCTTTATGCAGGACTGATCCAGAAACCATGGTTTCTGAGAAAAAAAATTCAACATCCATTTCGGTGTCATACAACCACAGATACCCTAGAGACAGGGAAACACATTCATCTCAAATATTTGAAAAAAATTATTTTAGTTTAAACATACTTTAAAGAATTGACAAATGTTTAACATGCATTGTATGACAATGAGATGGATGTTGAAGGTTTTTTTTTTTATTATATAAATGAGATACCAATAACCAGAATAAATTGTCTTTGAAGATGGGTTAGAAACCAGAAACACCATTCTAAAGGAACAAAAAAATACCAATGAAAGATGAATAATATATCAAAAATATATGCGAAGAGATACATATATTTAATTAATGCCTTAAATACTTTAACTGTTTTTGTTTTTTTTATAAAATTAACTAACAACCAGACCATTTTCTTGCATTTCATTTTATGAAACACAAAAAAAACTTTAAGGTAATCACAATCAGCAAAATGGAGAAATAGATTTAATACAATATATTCAATAAATCAATCATTTCAAAACATATTTAAAAAAAAAAATCATGATCACAGGAATAATAACAAAGTCTCCATTCCTCTGTCAAATACAAGGTTTTGTCATGCTCTCTTGCCCAGAATTTTCAGTGCATCTTGATTTATTTTTTTCTTTTCCCATACAATAGTTTCTTAATTGGTGCATCACTATCTATTCTTGTAACATGCACCACCTACTGCAATCTTGAGAGTCTTTTAAGAACTGAGGCCACAACAAGCCAACTCCATTTTCAATTTTTTCCAAATAATACTTCTAGTACCTGATTATACTCAATGATTTATTTCAAAAACAGTTAAATAACATGTGATTGAGCTTAATAGGTTTATTTTTTTCAATTTCTGGAGGATTAAAATAAATTCCAATAAATCCCATCAAATTACCTTTACTCTTTGTCATAAACCTATGACTTCCTGTCCTACAGTATCTTTTAACAGTACCCTACTTATCCCTGTTGAGCAAATCCAATACATGGTCAAACGACTAGAAACTGTCCGACGTTTTCAACCACTGCAGCATTTACTAGACAAACGCTCTAAACATCCAACTGGATTGAGCTTTGGGGCTCTACTAAACAATAAAATTCCTCTCGTATCCAATCATTGCAATCCAAAATCCTTCATAAAATTCTCAATGCTTCCTACTTTGTCAGAAATAAAATCATCCATAACGACTTTGATGGAACATATATTTCCGATTTGGCTCAATCTAGATTTCTATCCTTCCATAGTAAACTTCTGAACCATCCGAACCCTCTTGTTTCCAACCTTACTTCCTCTTCAATTCCTAATA